CGTTTTAGAATCTGATAAGGCCCGTAATAGCGAACGCCCAGTTTAGTTGCGGCCCTTTGTGCTGTGGTGCGCTGTCTGAATGGTCGTAGTTTCAGGTAGACGTACTCGCCTGGTGCAAAATTTTCCTCACGCTTTTTCCCATCTGCGAAGGCTTTTTCGATTAATTGAGCCTTCGAGATTTTTCTTCAGCTCACGTAACATCAAATCTCGTTCCTCTAGTTCTCGACCAACCTCATCGTTGACTGTACTCCCCTCTGAATAATTGATCAGTGTTGGGGGTTTTCGCCCGTATACCAACTCAAATGGCGTCATCTTGGTCGACTCGTGGTAAGTGGTGTTGTACCAATACTCAGCCCAGGGCAAAAAGTTTTCCCACCGCTTTGGGAATTGATGGACGTAGCATCTCAAATACAGCTCAAGGGTTCAGTTGGTTACCTCAGTTTGTCTGTCTGTCTGTGGGTGGTAGGCTGAGCTCATAGATAACTTAGTCCCTTGCAACTTGAAGAATTCAGACCAAAAGCTGCTCATAAAAATCTGGTCTCGATCAGAGACGATGGATCGAGGTGCTCCATGCAGTTTCATCACGTACTCCACAAATAACCTGGCAATTGACTTCGCAGTGTAAGGATGGGTAATGGGTATAAAGTGAGCATACTTTGTGAGACGATCCACCACAACCATAACACCGTCAAATCCATTGGAACTCGGTAACCCCTCTATGAAATCCTTAGTAATGTCTTCCCAGATCGCCTCGGGTATTGGTAGTGGTTGCAACAGCCCGCTCGGTCGTCGTGAGTCAGACTTAGTGCGCTGGCAATCATCGCATCGTGCTATGTAGTCTCGAACGGTACTCTGTTGTCCGGGCCAGAAGAAAGTGTTGGCTATTCTCATCCACGTGCGATAGATACCCGAGTGGCATCCAACTTTAGAGTCATGGAAGTGCTGCATGATCTGCTCACGTAACTGCCCACTGTCGAGAACGAATACTCGGCCTCGGTGTAGAAACAGACCATTATGCAACTCGTAGTCGATAGCAGTCGTCTTTCCTGCTTCTATCGATTGGCGCAGCTCCTGGCAATAGGTGTCCTCTACTTGCGCCTTCATGATTTCTTCCCAAATAGTCCAAGCTGGCTCGGTTGATAGCATTCAGCTCGGCTACATCTGTTCGTCGGGATAATGCGTCAGCTACTGCATTCTGTCGACCCGGTCGATAAATTATCTCGAAGTCAAACCCCATAAGCTTAGATACGAACTTCTGCTGCTCGGGGGTAACAATCCTTTGCTCCAATAGATGCTTAAGCGGTTGTTGGTCGGTAACAATCTGAAAATGTCGGCCCAACAGATAAGGCCTCCAGCACCTTACAGCCTCGACAACTGCTAGCATCTCCTTCACGTACACCGATAGACCCAATCGGGTAGTGCCCAGTGCCTTGCTGAGATAGGCTAAGGGTCGCCCCTCTTGTACTAACACAACTCCAATCCCAATGTCACTCGCATCGGTGTGTACCTCGAACAAGACATCGAACCTTGGCATGGCGAGCACTGGCGTTGTAGTCTTAGCTTCTTTTAGTTTCCCAAACGCTTTTTCGCTAGCTTCGGTCCACGTGAACCCGCCTTTCTTAGTCATCTCTGTCAGGGGTTTGGCGATGGTTCCATAATCCTTCACAAACTTTCGGTAGTAGCCCGTGAGTCCTAGAAATCCTCGCAACTGCGTGAGACTTGTTGGTTTAGGCCAATAGACCATAGCCTCAATCTTTCGTGGATCAACCTTCACGCCATCGTGTGATATGAAGTGCCCCAGATACTCAACCATCTTCTGCCCGAATGAACATTTGGATGGCTTGATATGGAATAAGTTGGCCTCCAAAATTTCGAGCACTACTCTTAAATGCCCAAGGTGCTCGCCCCATGACTTCGAATAGATCAGGATATCATCAAAGAATACCAGAACGAACTTACGTAGATACTCCTTGAAGATAGAATTCATAGCGAACTGGAAAGTGGATGGGGCGTTGCATAATCCGAATGGCATAACCAGATACTCATAGTGCCCCTGGTGCGTACGGAATGCTGTCTTTGGAATGTCGGCCTGATGGAGTCGAATTTGATGGTAACCAGCTCTCAGATCGAGCTTTGAGAAATAGCGTGACCCGGCTAACTCATCGAGCATGTCATCAACACTCGGGATAGGAAATCGGTCCTTGATGGTTGCAGCGTTCAGAGCTTGGTAGTCAGTACAT